GGTTACCTTTGAAGAAGAGAATGAGGGCTGCAATAAGGGCTTCTGGAGTTGTTAGGAATGTTCTATCCTACACAGGCTTCTTCACTTTGTGATAACTCCTCAATCTATACATTATGATTTATGCACTTCTCAGTATACATTACACTGCAATCAAGAAGTATTTTTTTCTAAAGCAGGAAATCCGCAGCTTTGATGCAAAGAAAGACTCTATGGTAGAATTTCAGGTACCAACAGCAATCACTGAGAAAGGTTATTTTTGAGTGGAAAAGCAACAGAATACAGTATGGCCCCAAGCAAATGTCAGAATGTGGCCTTTCGTTTCTGAAGGGGAGTAACAACAGCTACTTTAGCTGGCTGTTGAGCATTAAACGGAATGATGTATGTGAAATGCTTTACACAGAACCCAGCACACAACTAGCGGCGAACAGAGGCTGTCTTTTGATTTTTATCTGAGGACCTGCATCGCATTAATGCCCAGTTTGCCCCCTAGACTGCGGCGCAGGTACACTCTACTAAATAGAACTCCTGGTGTTAATCAAGACCTCCTTGGTAATAAAATACCCTCAAACTGCGAGCTGGACAGATCCCCATCAGCCCTCCCTCAAGGCTCAGACTGAAGAAAAGAGGTACCATAGCCGCATGCCTGTCTGAGAGAACCCAGAATGTCTCCCCCACAGTATTCGGCATGGAGAGGAAACCACTCCAGCCAATGGAGGACGCAGACCCAGACCCACACCTCTTCCCTCCTCGCAGCGCTCCACTCCACCCAATGCCCTCCAATGGGGACCCGCAGAATAAAAGCTTCACATCGTCCCTCCTCCCTCCCCCAATCAGCGAGCCCGCACCAGATCACCGCGCCCAATCACAGCACTCCACATGCTTGAGGGCAGCCCTCCGCGCGCACACACCAGGGAGGCTTTGGAAAGGCTGCCGCAGGCTGCACGGAAAGTGGCAGACGGAAAGCCGCGGACGGAACGCCGGGATTTGCTGGCTGCGCGGCCATATCCGAAGAGGCCGCACTGCCACCTACTGCCCGATCTTCCCCAGGCGGCACCACTCCTGACCACGCTCTCCTGACCACGCTCGCCTGACCGCGCGCTGTCCTAACCTCTCAAAGCAATATCCCAACCCAAACGCTGAAGTATGGCTTAGGGAAAACACGCAGAATAGCACGTAGAAGCGAATGTGTGTTTTAATCACACACATGTAATTACTATTACAAAGTAAGGGGAAAAAAAGCCTCAAATAGCCTTTTTCCCTTCCACACATTTTGAGTTTCAAAACCTTATTCACCTCTACATTTTATAAAGAGGTAAAATCAAAGGGCCTAGGGCTTGTTCCTTCCATCCATTTCTGGAGCACCTGCTGTACGTCAGGGTATTAGCTGAGGCCGGCATTCACCATCATCCCTAATTTATATGTAAAGGAACCGAGGTTAAGTGACACAATTTTGGCAATCTGGCGGGGCTGGGGTTCACAGCTAGATGTCGGTCCCCCAAGTGCAGACGCTTCACCACATCAAACTGTATTATTACAGTACATCCTGTAATAATATAGGGTGGGGGAAATTTTATTCTGAGGGGGTAAAGATTCAGGATGTACAGTGGGTATTCTAGGCCAGGTAGTGTTCAATAAATGGTAGCTGGCACTACTTTCCCAAATATGCTAATCTTAACAGACAAGGAGATGATTACCCCCCATACTTATTTCTTGCAGATTATTATGCTCATTCTTTGCCAAACAGCTTTTGCTTTTTCAGGAATCTATGAAAACGTTCCCCTAGATTGGTCTCAGAAAAAAAGACAGCTGGCTATACCCCATACCAAGGTGCCAAATATAATGGTTTCATTTACTAATCTTCCCTTCTTACCTAAGAAAATGTTAACAACAGCTTACCTGAAGTCCTCCATTCTCCTTTCTGTACTTCCATAGCACTTTTCTTTTAATTCATATATAATAAGCTTTGAAATATAACTGAGTCCATGTTGGTTTCATCACTACCAAAAGTGATTTCTAAAAGGAGTATTATTGGTTCTAGAGTGCATTTTAGAATATATGGGGATTTTTTCTGTCAGAATGACAGTGGGGCATTACTGACACTTAATGGGCAGAAGAAAGGAAAATTAGGTAACCTGCAACGCTGAGCCTGTCCAACACATCAAAACACTGTTCCTGTTGGGAGCCAGAGTTTTCAGTATGGAAAGGAGATACATATATGGACTAGAGGAAGGCAAGGAAGAACCTGTGGGGATGCACTGGAATCAGAGGTCTGAGCATGAAATTGTTATTGGTGAAATATGTACATGTATGCATATGTACTGGATGTGCACATCTGTATATTTGTGTGTATAAGTATATATGTATACATATTTTCCTAGCTCTGTCCACTGGATGGGCCAAGAAGCAAAAACCTCATAGTGACAAGAGGACATCTAGTACACAGATCTTGGGGTCTAATACCATTCCTTACTGAAAGGAAACAGGATTCCTTCGAGAAATAGTTAATTCCAGGGATAGAGCAAGAAAGGTACAACGTAAGCCTGGAACATTGAGAATGAGTGTGAAAGGGCTCCTACTAGCCAAATATGGGACAATTTGATCACCCAAATAATTAAGAATGTTAATGAATCATTAAAAAATAAATAAAACAAAACAAGAGAAATCTACAATCCAGAAAGCTGTACTGATAATGAACAGATAAACATAGTTCAAAGAAGTGGGAAAAAAGGGAGAGCTCTTGCTTATAGTAGAATACTGAGTACAAACTAGTAAATGTGGAAGTATTAATGGAGATGGAAAATCATCTGTCACTAGCACTGGATAATTTTGCAACTGTCATTGTAAAGACTGATTCAGGCAAGAATGAATGGATGCTAAATCTAGGGGGAAGGCTTTGTTAAACAGGATATTTGCATATTAAAATATCCCCCCACAGAATGTCTATTAGTTATAAAGAGAAAAACAGTAACTCTCCAGTGGGGAAATCAGACACACTTGACTGGGTCATCAACGGTAGCATCACCAGTGAAGACAGATCAACAACAGGTATCTCTAGATGTGCTCTGAAAAGGACAAAATATCACTGATAATATTCCAACTGGGAAAGCATATCCTGAATCTAATCACGAGGGTATCTCAGACAAACCCGAAAAGAATATCATATTAAAAGAAGGCTTCTTAAAAAAAAAAAGTCAGATAATATATACTAAAGTGTTCAGGATGAAGGGCTATAATACATGCAAAAACTCAAAAGGTTAAAAAATGTACACATACAGAAAAGGAGAAAGCAAAAACAAATGGGTCAAAATGGTGATAATATCTAAATCTGAGCTAAGGGTATAAGATGCTCTTTGTATTATTCTCATAATTTTTTGTAAATTTCAAATTATTTCAAAGTAAAAAGTTAAAAATTGGTCTATATACCATGCCATGTATGACGTGGCAGACATTCACACTATTAAAAAATTACCTGTTTATAATTAACAAAAGTAAGTCAATTTTAAATATAAAAATAAAGTACTTTGAGGGAGGGACATACTTTTAAAATAAGCTGAATTTTCCATAAATGCAAGTACTAGGTAAACTGAGGAAAGACAGCACTTTGATTCATTCAGAACTTTACCAAGAGTTGTTGACCATTTTGTGAATAAAACTGTGTCACTTATGATAATGCCATGATAATACCAAGTGGTACTTGACTTTCCTAATACACCACATCTGTATCCATCTGCATTTCTATCTGTTGTTCAGTGATTCTCTATTTCAGTGCAAACATGCAGTTACTAGTCTTCGCATTCTCCACAGCTGTTTTGGCTGGCCCCTGTCCATATACCCAATTCCAGGTCTCACAAACCAACTTTAATGTGCTCCTGCAATCACATTATTAAGGGAGAAAATGATGAGTTCTTTGAACATTCCCACCCCACCCTCTGCCGCTTGCAGGGTAGCTGTTATAGATAGCGATAATACAATCCTGCTCCCCAACCCTGGAGTTTTTAGAAGAATCCATAAACACAGGGGGACTTTCTTCTTATTTAACAAAAGCAAAAAGAAAAAGAAAAGAAATAAAGCAGAGAAAGAAACCTGGGGGAAAATGTGAGATCAGCACTGGAACTGATCCAAAAATTACATTATTCCCATAAAACTGTCACTAATCATCTGACTTTATCACAATGATGTTTTATATATAAAATAATATTATATAGGAGGAGGGGGATAATGGTGGAAAGAAGGGGAAGGGACTGGTTAAAAAACATATATGAATGACCCATGGACATGAACAACAGTGTGGGAATTGACTGTGGGAGTTGGTGGGTGGGATAGGCAGAGGAAAGCAAAGGGGGAAAAATTGGGACAACTGTGATAGACTAACAATAAAAAAAATCTTTAGGAATAATACATATGTAACATGTCCATTTCTATAAAATGTTCATAGAGTCAGTGATTTCTTTTAGGCCCTGTTAGTTTATAAAAGAATGGCTGCTGTCTGTGTAATATAAGGAGCCTATAATTAGGAGCCTACTGCATGAAAAGAGGTTAGCCAACTCTTTTTCTTAAATGGTTTACATGAGATTATAGCGCTGCTTTCAAATTTACCTATCACCTGGCAATGAAACAGAGGAGAGTCAAAAAGCTTTCTGAAGACTGCAAGTTCAGAAGTGACAATGAAAAATGATAAAGGTATAAAATATATTTTTCTTTGCAGATAATGTAAAACAGAGACGGGCTGCAGGGCAACTAACTGTACAATAAAAATGGACACAAAATAAAAGAATTGTTTACATAATTTAGGAAGACTATACATCGAGGCAAAAAAAAAAAGAATAGCAAAAATGACTTTGCCATATGTGAAACAAAAGTCTAATTCTTTTCAAGACCTCAAATGTACCTATCTGAATTGGGTTATCACAACAGCATCATTTCATATATACATAATATGAATATGTGAATATATGATCATGAACATATGAAGTGAGTGAAAACGACACATAGGTACCAACCGAGGTGACAATCTTCTTTTTCTCTTGCTTCCCATTTGTGGCTGTCTACATATGCTGCAGAAAGCAGACATCTTTTACCTGAGGGAAAAGACAATTATCTCAACATTCATGGTTTCACAACAGGTTCAGTTTATAGATCTTTTATTAAACATATCTTTGTAATACTTTTGATTTACTAGATTATTTAAAGATTCTAACACGATACTGTAACCAACATTGCACAGTTACCAATTCAGTTCCCGACAAAATGCATTCACCCTCTAACAAGTAGAAGATGTGGAAAACTGAAAATTTTGCTGAACAGTTACATAACTCATTAATCGAATGTTCTATAATCATTAGTTGGTTCTCAAAACATTTCCATCTGACTTAGATCAACATATTCACCTGTACTTCACATAAAACAAACAGTAATATCTTAGCCAGTAAATCAGCACCCTAGAGGTAAATAAGAGAAAACTAATAAGCCAAATTTGAGGTGACTCACAAGATGGCATAGCTGTATTCCCAGCCCCTGGCACAATGCATGGGACAGTGCTCAATAGACATGAGTTCAAAGAATGAATGAGAAAAAATACATGGCAACTTAATCAAAATTAAAAACCTTTATACTTCAAAGGACACAATTCAGAATGTGAAAGGAAAACTCACAGAATGAGAGAAAACATTTGCAATCATTTATCTGATTAGGGACTTGTATTCGAAATATAAAAATAACTCTTCCTACTCAAAATTTAAGAAACAATCCAGCTGAAAATGGACAAAGGATTTGAACAACTATAGAAATAAACAAAAGGTATGCACACATACAAACATATACACATACACACAAATGGCAAGCTAGTACACAGAAAGATGTTTAGTATCATTTGCTGTTAGGGAAATGCCAAATACATCGAAATGCTACTTTACACCCACTAGGATGACTATAATCCAAAAGACAGATAATAACCGCCATTGACACAAATGTAGAGAAACTGGAACCTTCATACATTTCAGGTGAAAATGGTAAAATAGTACAGCCACTTTGGAAAAGGTTGGCAGTTCCTTAAAATATAAACATGAAGTTGTGATACAGCCCAGCAATTCCAAAGGAAAGCAGTGTAATTGTGGACTCGGATGGACTTCAGAGTCACAAAGTCTCTGTTTGAATCCCAGCCTTGCTAATAAATGCTATGAAAATATGGGCAAGTTAAAAGAGGGTCTTGAGCCTCTTTCCCTACATGTAAAATGAGGAAATAATGCCTACTTGTACCATAATTTAAATAAATGAATGTACAGTATTAAGTGCTTAGCCTAATGTCCCCTGTGTAAGTAGGTGCCCAATAAGTTTCCTTCCTCTAGCCTCTTCCTATCGTGAAGTCATTTTTTCATTCATCTCAATAAATTTTCTTTTCAATATGATGTAACTACAGAGAATCAATGGAAGCACCAAAGTGTTGCAAATATTGATTTGCCTCGAGTTTGTATAAAGTAGACTATTTTTCCTCTCTTGTCCTGCAATGGTTCAAGATGTTTTGATGACTTAAAGTCAAGCTCCTTATCAGCATTTTTAAATCCTGAGTGGTCCATAATGCACTATCCTACTTATTCATATTACTTGCCTTACAGCCTCCACTTCCTAATTGCAACACTCCTTTCATTGATGGTCTAACCCAGTGCTTGTTGGATATACTTTTCTATTGATATAATGAAGGAAATAATCCATTCTGAGCTGTCCAGCACAGTAGCAAGTAGCCACAGGTGTCTACTGAGCACTTAACATGTAGTGTGACTAAGAAACTGAATTTTAAGTTTTGTTTAATTTTCACTAATTTAAATAGCTATATGCAGCTAGTAGCTACCACAATGGAATAGCACAGGTGTATAACCTGCCACAAGTTCACCAGTTCAGACTAAGACCAAAATGCTAACTGGAAATTCTCTCAATTCATCCTTACCTAATCTCCATTCCCTTGTTAGTATGATTGTCCCAAACAAACATTCTAAGCAACCACAATACTCTCCCTAATAAACAATATAAGGTCTTGTTTAAATCGAAACATTTACCAACAACCATTACTAAACATGCTTGTAAAAAGCTATACCAGCTAATTTTTACTGAGGTGCCAGGTCCTGTGCATACCACTTTACCTAACATGTGACATTAAATATTTTCACTAGCTAGGTTGATCAGTTAATCCTCAGAAAAATTCTGGTGGCCAACTCCCTGATTTCATATTGATATTTAATGGCTGTTCCTAAAAAAGTGTCAGCAAGGGTGTACATTGTTGCTTTTTTGTAGGGGCTAGAGGAAGTAAGCTGGAAGAAGAGATAATAGGCATTGGAAACATCAACTGTGATTATTGCATTTTAATCAAATAATCACATACACTTGTCAGGATTTAGCTTCTGGAAATGCTCAAAAAATCTTTTCCAACGTCTTTACCAGCAGATCCGTTAAACAGGTTTGAGTGGGCTGCCATTCACTGAGATACCAAAGTACTTAAGTAGTAACTGTTAGCATTCCTTGTCTATAGGTGGAAAACTGTAGCAAAGAAAGGTCAAAAATTGTGTCCAAGGTCATCAGGTGCAGTGAGATTAGTATACTGAAAAACTCTTTCACCAAGTGAAGACCAGGGGTTTTGGCCAAGTGTTAGGTGGTGAGGAGAACGCTTACGACGCCCCTCCAGGGAAACCTCAAGAGGGTTTCTGAGCCCCAGAGAGGGAAACCTCAAGTTTTCATAGCCCCAGAGGGGGACACATTTTGGGCTTTTTCAGGTATCAGGGCAAAAGACAATCACCATAACACAAATCATACGGAAAAGCGCTCATCCCTGGACTTTCTCTGCTCTTTACACCTTTGGATGGGCAGACACTGACTTTATGAAAGGAGATGAGTCAGGGACTTTATCTCCCCTTACTGTGTTACCAAACACCCCAAATGGTTTCTCTAGCAAGTAGATCCCAGATGCATCTCCTCTCCTTTTGAAAGCCCATCCCTTCCTTCACTCAGGAAACACAGTTCTCAGGGATGAATGAAGCAGCTCCACGAAGGCCGCAACCAGCCACTGACCTGCCAGGGAGAGTCGAGTCACAGGCACTCTCCACGCCAGGAGGATCCCGCACCTCGCCATGGGGGCCGCCATCTTGGAGCATACCAAGGAGAACGCCGGCCCGGGGGGGGGTTGCTGGCAGAGGAAGGGGTGGAGTCCCAGTCGGGCTGGCCCTCCACCCCCCGGCTCCCGCAGTTGGTGCCACCCGGGACAGCATGGCTGCTGCGTTTAGGCCGTGGAAGCTAGCTTTGCTGCAAGCGCTGCGGTCTTTGGTGTATCCGGGGGTGGTAGTTTCAGGCTCCACCTGCTGCCGCTGCCCTCTCGGAGGTATTCGCGGCCTCGGGCCGTGAGGGAGGGAGGGATGAGAAAGAAGGGACCTTTATCCCTCAGTGGGCATCGATTTGGAGAAATAACTGCGCCGTAGGTGCTTACTGGCCTGGGGCAGCCGAGTGTTCCTTCACCCTCTGGCTGCGCGTGGGTGCAGCGGTGGCTCCGGAGTGCCGTGATACCCACGTGCCTGGAAACCAAAGGACAGCCGGGCTTGACCTTGGGGGTCTTCCCTCGGATGGGGCGACAGTGCTCTCCTAAAACATCCCTTCCCCGTTTGGTTGCAGCGTCCTGCAGTTTGGGAGGCGAGTCCCCAACTCTGCAGCTAACAATCTGAAAGAGCTTGAACAGATTTCTTCATTTGTAAAATTATCCATTAATATCTTTATGAAAATGATTGAAATGGAAAATGCTGCTGAGTGATAATAAAATATATAACGCTTTGTATCAGGCATTATTCTAGTGCGTTTTACACACATCCCTTTTCTCACGACATCCAGTGACAGAGTACCATTCTTTTCTCCATTTACTGAGGGGGAAACAGCAAGTCTGACTTCATTTGCCTAAGGTCAGAGGGAACTGGTAGGGGAGAGATTTGAACACAGGCAGCCCTACTGTAGAGTCCCACTGTAACACTTCTGGACTGGCTTTCAATACAGCAATTTTTATTGTTACCTTGTTGCAGTACTCGGAGCTCTTTTAGTGGATGGTGCTTTGGCCAAGCTCCACTTCCTGCACAGCCGAACATCCTAAAGAAATGATGATGTTTCTCAAACTCATCTTTTCTACTAAGTTGTGATCAGTGATTTCTGGTATTTCATGAGGATACTGCTAATCCAACTGAGAGGCAATACTCCTCATTTCATAAGTGAGGGAACTGGGAATTCCAATGGTCACTCTGTAGCTTTTTCCACTACACTATATGATTCTACCTATGTATACCAAAACTAGATATTCCTGTTTTGCATAAACAATAGTCTTTAGTTTGTTTTAAAATTCCCTTATTATCTCTTAACCAGATGGTGAATGTCTATTCGTCTTTCAGATCCCAGATTCCTGTCAATCACCCCCACTCCCCCGCCCCCCCCAACACACAATTACTAGCTTCTTTTACACACACAGACATAACCTGTGTTGCTGAGGATTTGCATTTTCTGGTAGTCTGGAGATTTGTTTTTTCTGACTAGGGTGACTGTTACATTTGTACCTATCTAGACGGATTATTTATACTAAATGGAAGTAAGATCAGCTATTAGAGGCAGTCAAGCTCTACTCATGTTATTTGCTAAGTATGAAACAGTCAAAATGATTTTACTCTTTTTCTTTCTTTAATTTTTAGCTAAAAGATATCTGCTTACAGATAATATTGTGAAATTACGAGAATTTCAGCAAAAGAAGGTGGCTATTGCACATAATCTTCCTGGCACCAAAGGTAATTGAATCTATTTTGTTAATCTGTTCACTGTTCTGTCATTTAAGTTTCCCCTGTCTCATCCCTGTTCGGTCTCTTTTTCAGTGACTTTATGTCTCAGGAAAAGTTGAGCTGATTTATTTTTAGTTTCCTAGTCTACCCTTAAATTCATCATTCATCTCATTCTTTACCTACGGAGTCTACAAATTTCCTCTTATCCCATCACCCAGAGAAATACTACAATTGGTGTTGTAACCAGTCCTCTCCTGATCCCTGTCACTCAAAGGTTCAAGGGTCAGCAGCAACTGGGAGGCTGATAGAAAGACTAAACCACAGGCCCCAGACAATTCTTACGCACAATAAAGTCTGAGAAGAACTGCTCCACACGACTAGCATTCAAACTTTTTGATGCAATCCTTAAAAAACAAAAAAAAAAAAACCCACGTTATGGGTCCACTATACACATACATTTCTGCATGTAAATGAAATCAAATGAAACAAAACAGTGCTGCGTATGATGATATATTCTCATATTTTCCACCTGTGCTGGAAATCACTAAGCTAAAACAAAGATTTCCATTAAACATTAGTAAAATAGTGACAATGGTTACGGCTGGATGGTTGTGGGGGGTCATTATACTGATCTCTCTACTTTCAGGTATGTTTGAAATTTTTTATTATAAAAAGCTAAAAATGCAGCACCACCACTTAGGTCCTGTTCCCTCGCAGCATCTGAGGAATCTCGTTTTATTCATTGTCTACCTCCTGCACATTCAGTTTTTCCCAGTCCTTCAAATTTCTTTATAAACACAGCAAGACTGTTGTCTCTTAGTGACTCTTTTATTTGTCTTTATTGACTTTTTCAGCTCTCCTTCCTCTATTATTGTTTACGAACATCTAATACTTCTTGCTTCTCTTCACTCACAGTCCAGCCCTCCAGGAATGTCTTCCCTCACCACTCTGCTAATCACATTGTTGAATAATCTCACCTACAGAACAGGAAAACAAGCCCTAAGTGTGGGGGAGAGAATATATTAACCTCCAGTTTAGTAGACTCAATCTAGCTTTTAGTTCAGTCTTTTCTTTTTATACCAGGTCTTTTGGAGCTATGTGAAGTTGAAAAATAGGGCTCCATGTCATTTTCCAGTTCTTTCCAATTGTCATAGTCTTTCTAAGGCAATGACAATTGTGCATATGTTCTGAAAGGCAGTTAATATAATGAGTGCCAGTGTACTCCATTATTAGATTTGGTAATTATAAAATCCTGTCCACATTTCATCCTTATAAGAACCTACAATGGTACTGCCTTATACATGACATAATATACGAACTTACCACCTGGCTTCCTAGCTCTTCCACAGTGGACCTTACCCTTTCTGGAGTCCAGTGTGATTTCCTATTAATCTACTCAGAGTTCTCCTCTCACCACCTCCCCCCCGCCCCCCCCAACCAGTTCTGTGCTGTTATTCATGCTGGTACCTAGCACGCCCCCCTCTTCACAGTTTCTCCAACTCTCTCCAGCCCCTTCCTTCCTCTCTGGTACCTCTCTCCCCTCCCACCAGAACTGGCCTGTTCCTGCCGCTCTGATTTTTCTCTTCTCCATTATTATGTTTATAGTCAGCCACGTGCCGTCTACTCCATGAATGTTTTCAGATAGCTCCCTATAAATGTATCTTGTCTTCTTAAATAGACTTCATGCTCTGTCAGAACAGGAACCATACCCCTGAGTATGAATATGCGATAAACATTGACATCTTCATTGATTAGTTTTAAAATACTAATTATCGCTGTTGAAATTTTGGATTCTTAAGGTTTATTTGGAAGGATGGAGATGGAAAGTCATCCCGTCAAAATCTTTTATATTGGAAATTGTTTAGCAATGTTTAATAGAACAAACCCTCCTAAATCTAAGAGGTGATGGAAGGAATGAAAATAGAACAATAACGTCTGTGATTTACTGGCAGTTGCTCTGTGCTAGGCTCTGTGCTACGTGCGTTGTGTCCATCACCGCAGGATACCCTCAGGGGGCAGGTGTCACGATCCGCACTGTCCACACGAGGAATCAGGTCTTGCAGACAAAGTTCTCCTCATAGTGTGCAGGTGGCAGAGCGTAGACTTCATTCCAGTTCCTTCTCTCTCTAAAACCTTTTTACCATGATGTGGTTCTGCAAGTAAAGGTTGGAGGGTCCACCACAGCATCTCAAACCTAGTGGGCCTTCTTCTTTTGTAAATCGAGAGCAGTGTCTGCCTCGGCTTCCAGATCATGCATTTTTAATGTATATTGTGTCACTCCTTTAAGCAGCATTCCTTTAAAGCTCTGGTCCTTGGAGCAAATCCCGTAGACTTTTCTGGGCCGTTTCTATTCCTGAGAACAGCCATGCCTTCCAGAAAATAGATGCTTGCTTGGTGCCTGCCTTGCATCTCACCCAACATTCTGGCAGGAACACAGTCCCTTCCTAATGCCAAGAAACTGTATTTCTTTTTGGTGTTTGTCTGTCCCCACAGTTGATCAGACACAAGACAAGGGACAGAGATAGAGTATGATCACCTTGAAAAGAGTGGGTGTTGTTTTTTTAATTGATTTTAGAGAGAGAGAGAGTTGAAAGGAGAGAGAAAAACATCGATTTGTTGTTCTACTTATTTATATGTTCATGTTGTAAGTGCCCTGACTGAGGATTGAACCTGCAACCTTAGTGTACTGGGGACAATGCTCTAGCCAACTGAGCTACCCGGCCAAGGCAAGAGTGACTTTTTTATTTGCCCTCTATGTATTATATAGTCCCGTGGCATACTTTTAAACAACTGAATAGAGAGAGACCAAGAGGAATGAAATAGTGGTAAAGCTGGACCAAATAAAAGAGACATAAAGTATTTCTGAGTCATGGAAGTCAACCACTATGGGTAAACCCATCTTCAGTTCACATTTTTCTTTCAGTTTTCTTGTTAGGTGCCCTGCCAGTTGATGGTTTGGCTATCTTGGTTACATTTTCTTTCTTTCTAGATTTTTTATTTATTTATTTTTAGAGAGGGGAAAGGAGGGAGAAAGAGAGGGAGAGAAACATAAACATCAATGTGTGGTTGCATCTTGCATGCCCCCTACTGGGGACCTGGATCACAACCCAGGCATGCGCCCTGCACTGGGAATCAAACTGGCGACCCTTTGGTTCGCAGGCCAGTGCTCAGTTCCCTGAGCCACATCAGCCAGGGCCATTTTCTTTCTTTTTTTCCCCTCCTGAGTCACCTGTAGATACAGTTCTTTAGGCCAACCCTCTGGGATATTATCAAACTTTTGTGTGCATAAAGATTACCCAGGTAGTGAAAAATACATATTCTTGTGCTCCTATCCCCAGAGACTCTGCGTAAGAAAGTCTTGAGTGAGACCTGAGCTGGTGCCCCATGACACAAACGCTTTGTGTCATGCACCATCTCCGACTCTGTGCTCAAGGAGACCAGCCCGTGAAAGGAGCTGGGTGACCATGAGCCCCTCCAAGTGCCCCTTTGCAACGTGCCAGGCTCAGGCTTCCCCTTTTCCCTGAGGTCAGGTCTGCCAGTCCCAGCCAGCCTAGTGATGGCCACCCCGCTGTGCTTTCTTCCAGAAACCTATCTGAAAAAATTGGAAGAGAAATTGACCCAGAACAAGCTCATCTTGAAGGAGGAGTTGAGAACCTTACTTCATTTGTGTGAGTCCCGGGACGATGTGGAACTGGCTAAAAATGTCATTTACAGGTGAGGCATTTCCTTAGAATCTAGCTAGCCTTTGTCCTTTCTTACTCTGCCCTGTTTCCTGAGCAGTCTCCTCTGCTTCCTTGGTTTAGGCCATCACCTATACACTGGTAACTGCCAAGGCTTTTGTCCAGATGCCTGCCCTGAGCTTTAGACATTTATCTTCATTCTTTTAGCAAACATTTGTTGGGTTTCTACTGCATTCCAGGTGCCAGGGATAGAAACACTAATAATCCATACCCCAAGAAATCACCAGCTATTCGCTAACCCCACTTACATGTCCCCTAGGTCTTCACATTGAACTTACATAAATTTCTTTCTCTTGCTGTGTTTTCTGTCGCATTGACCAATCGCTCAGTACAGATATTTGGGAGCCTCTTTCCCCTAATCTCATTTTCATTTCTCCCTGGCGAGGTAAGAAGTTGGGCCGCTTCCACTTCCCCAGCGTCTCTCAGCTCTAAGCTCCCTGTCTCTGGCCCTGCGCAAGTGTCTTAGTTCAGGCCTCAACATCTCTCACTTGGGTCGCTTAGTGGATTCCTAACCAGTTTCCTTCCTCCAGGCTTATGCCTATTATGTTCTGTTGTGTCTGACCCATTGTCAGTTTTCCATGTCAGAAGGAACTCACACGAAATCATAGTCTGCTTTTAGGAAACCCAGCAAAGGTTTCGCTTCCATGGGAGAAAATCAGTGGGCTTCCTTTTGGAAATTAAGTTCATTGCTTCTTTTCACCATTCTTTAACGACATAGTTCTGTACATTGACCTGCATTTATATTGTATATTTATAGAGAAATACAAGGTATTCATATATAGAACACTGGAAGAATATATACCAAAAGTTAACTGTGGCTCTCTGGGAATTACACATTCTAATTTTTTGTCTGTCTAAAAGTGTACTTTTCTGATTTCTTCAATTTGTCTATAGCGGACATTAACAATTTTATAATGTGAAAACTTTGTTATTTTTTAAAAGGAAAATAAAAAACAGTTACACAAAATTCATTGAAAATTTGAAAAACACCAAGAAAATAGAAAGAACAAATATATTCTAAGTTGTGCTCCTTCAGATGTCTCCTGTCGCGTAACAGACCACACCAGAACTCAGTTGCTCAAAACAACCATTATTTATTATTTCTCACAAGTCTGCGGATCAGGAATCGAGGCCCATCTCAGCTAGATGGTTCTTTCTTGGCATTGACTAATGTCGCTTGCTCATCTCCAGGTCTCTGGGCTGAGGAGAAAGGTCCCAGAAGGCTTCGCCCGCACTTCTGATGGCACGGGGCCCCCTCTCTCCTTGCAGTATCTCACCACTCACGAGTCTGGCCTGAGCTGCAGCAGTCCACAGCGCAAGGGTAGAGCTGCCCAGAGTTGGCGCAACTGCACTTCTGGTGCATTCTCTTGGGCAAGGCCGGTGACCCCGCCAGCCCAGAGTCAAAGGGAGGGGAAGGCCCCCCCCTCTGGATGGATGGCGCAGTGTGCACACACAGCGAGGGAAGGACTTGAGGGTGGCCGTCTTCGGGGCCTACCCACCGCTTCTGAGAAACCGCTGTTAATATTTTGATATACTGTCTACTGTTGCAGGTGTTAGGGGTGCCAAAAATTCTCATATAGTTTAAGTTACAAGTTAACATCACAGATTATAAATTAGCATCATGGATTCCCAACTGCAGATCGAAAATACATCCTTACCAATTATTTTCATGCAAAGATTTGGTGATTTTTTTTAGGGACCTGGGCTGGTGCCCTGTGACACAGGTGTTTTGTCATGGGGCAGTTTTGATATGTACATAATTGTTAATTATTGCTGTACATGTTTTATAATGATATTTTCTTGTTTTCTAAGTAGTATTCTATAGTGTTTTTGCTTGTCAAGCATATGCTTAGGAATTGTATTTTAATAACATTTAACTGTGCTTAGGAATCATATCTTAACATTTAACTAGAAATCATTGAGTGTTTAAATGATTTCTAGCTTTTCACCAGTATAAATAACACTGTGATGAACAACTCTATGCATAAAACTTATCCTTTACTTTTTGGAGGAGTTCAGAGGTAGGAACCTTTTAAAGTTTATCAATAAAAGAGTTACACTGATTTACAGTCACACAGTATCAGCAAACCTAATTCTGTTATTTCTGTTTCATGAAGTTGAACCATTTAAGACCCTCTAGCCTGCTTTATTACCCAAAGCTATCAGACGTTTAAAAGAGTAATAAAACAGGATAAAATTTTGAACGCTCTTTCCACTCTGTTTCTCCCATAAACATCCAAAGCCTGGCTCGTCATCCGTTCATGGGTGCTTACAGCTCTGCCCACTCGGGGCCCTTCCCTCTGCTTGGGGACAGCTGGACCAGAGGGGAGATGGGCAGGCCAGGGCGTAAGCAGCCCGTTCCCGCTCTTCCTGACGGAGGTCGGTTGCCCAGGGCTGGGGACCAAGAGCAGTGAGCTGGAGTAAGTCTTTATTGAATCAAAACAGAGGAGCAGCTTAATCCCATCCTGATCTGAAGCACATTGGTTTACAGAGGGATTTCGATCCTCTAACTGGAACATTTCTTGGCAAGGGGATCATTGTTTCTGTGGCTTTCTAGGACTTTTAATTAGCGTGACTGTTATTTAAGTTGAGAAAACTTTTCTTCCGCTTTGTTTTGTTTTTAATCTGGCATAAGTTTCTCATGAGTATATTTATTGAAATAGACTGATGTTTGAAGATGCTTTCTTCTACATGTCTTACATTTTATGAGCACTAACGTGCAGGGAAGACGAGCTCTGTGCCAGGTATATCACCTCATTTAACCCTCACAAAACCTTGGAATTCTCTTATCTCCATTTACAAATAAGGAAACTGAAGGAACCGGTGGTTAATTAATTTGCTCAGGGCTACATAGATAGTAAGCAGGAGAGTTGGGATTTGAACTGTTATTTTGGAATGAGAGTCTAAAAATTCTTATTTGCTATACCATACTGCCTTTTAATAACCTGCTTTTTTTCCCAGCTTTACTGAAGTATGATTGGCAAAAATTGTATACAGTAGAACCTCCGTTCTCAAACTTATTTTGTTCTGGAAAACTGCTTGAGAAGCACTTTTTCCCAAACTGAATCTCTCTTGTTTGTCCCCTGAGAGATGTGGGACTGATCACACAGGTGTCAGCATGAAAAGCGTGTGGGGTCAGTAATCGAAACTCAAGAGTTTTGTTCAACAACTGAGACCTTTTTTCCATGAACCACTTGGTTCTGGTAGAGAACCGAATTGTTCGAGAACTGAGATGTTCGAGAGACAAATGAGGTTTGACTGTATATTTAAGAGGTAACAACTTGATGTTTTGATAAAATGATTTAATCCATAACGGTTGTAATGAAGCAGTGAATATTTTTTCTAGCTTCTAGGGATTTGCAATGTATCTTTGAAAGCAGACCTCACTGTTCTATTTGGCAGTATGTATGTTTAGGACAGGCTTTTCACGACTCTGCTGTGCTTCCCTCAGTGATTTCAGCAGGTTAAAAAGTATTCTGTTTCTTAAAGTTAGAGCTTGTCCCCATGGTATTTGGGATTTAATCACGTAAAGACTGAATCTTTCCAAAATCCAATTTACATGTAATCATGAATCACTTGTTTTGTTACCAGATTGTCTTCTCAGCATCTAAAGCACAGAGAGTTGGTTACTGAAAGTAAAATGATGCTAACAGTTTACGGTTTTACAGCTCTAACTGACAGACTGGTCTCTGGAAGAAATCTCAAGCCACAAATAAGTTGTCACTGTCTTTGAAATTTGCCTTTTCCTAAAACTAAAATTTCAAACCAGCATTTAACCTGTTTAGCTAGGTGATTGTAGCTCACAAATGCCTTTCCAAGTTGAGAAGAACGGAGAGGTTGGTATAAATTGTAAAATGCATCTGTTGGTTATCGGCCATCCTAGATGTTGATGAAGCCAGGTGTGCAGGGGACGGAACATTGCCCCGCCCCTTTCCTTTGCTCCCCTCTGGGGGGGGCCCACACAGCGACAGTGCATTCTGAGGGGCTTACAATTGCAAGACCCCTGCTGTTCCCTAACATAGAGTATGCTCATGGTCAATCCGTCCTAACTGGACTGTTGGTAAATTCAGATGATAACCATGTATACTTTCCTCTCTTTTGTTTCGCAGGGTGAGAGGGTCTCCAACAAACCTCGTCCGTTTATTTGCTTATTTGGGTACCCGGTATATTTCTGCACTCCAACATTCCTCTGATTATCTTCAGTTCTGCAGGCTTCCCCTCCAGACTATGAGAGTACCCCACTCTCTCCTGGGTCCCCAGCGCCTGGCAGAGTGCATGCCGTGGTCTGTCTGCCCTTTGGCTGTGTCCCACCGTTTGGCTCACTGAATCATTTTGATCACCAGGTACCATGCAGAGAACAGAAATGTCACTTTGGGGGAGTTCAAGTTTGGACCACTTTTCATGAGGCTGTGCTACGAGTTGGATCTTGAGGAGTCTGCAGTGGAGCTCGTCAGAGACCAGGTGATTGCCTCCTGTTGGGCCTCCCTGCCAGCCTGACCTCCTCGTGCAGAGGGGAAGGTGCTTCTGCCATGGGAGGGAAAGGCATCTCCCTGTGCACATTATTATCAGAAAGGCTGCTGGGCTGAATGGATGAGCTCTTTGCTCATCCATTAATGCTCATCCTTAAGGTTTCTTTGGAGTCAGTTCCTATGAAGAATGTCTTTATACAGAGGTATCTGCTTGCCTTGGATATGTGTCCACCTGGGACTGACATCATCACTTTTGAGGAGTTTTTACTGGGAGACAGTGTAAGACAGGCAGTGTTTTAAAATAGCCTTACCTGTGCTTCACCTGTGCTTTTCTCCTGTTTTTGTATTTTTACACCTGGTTGAAGGCTACATTGTAAAGTGCTTTTTGATTTTCAAAGTGCTTTCACATATTCCAATTTCCTTTTCCTAAAGACAATGATAGCAATAATTATTTTTAAATTACTTACTGAATATTTACTGTGTCCTCAGCTTCAATACTTTATATGTTTCATCTCATTGGTTTCTCATAATGGCCCTAGTGAGCCAGATACTATTATAATTCCCATTTTACAGATGAGGAAACTAGGACTCTGGGGCATTATAAATGGATCCATGGTCAGAAACATTGGTTAAATTTTGGGGTTGGGGCTGGCCACCTGGGATGCTTTAGAATTTTGGGGGACCGCCATAACTCAGTTGTCCTTCTGCCTCTTACTGTTTTTCATGTAAAAGGTTCTGTCCCTGCGGAGCTGTTAACTCTCGGCCTGCCCCTCTTTTAAGGAAGCCTGTACCTTACAAAGGTGACCTTAACATATTAGCAAGAAGAAAAAAGGTGGTTTCAGGACTGTACGGCTTTGTTTGAGCCTATTTTTTTCTAAAAGAAAAAATATAGGTACATATTTACCTTTCAGGATACATGTATTAAAAATCTGGAAGGATAGACACTGTGTATCTTTAAAGGATAAAATTACAGGAAATTCTCACTTTTTACTTGATGAATTTTTGTATTGTTTGACTATTTTACAATAAGCATGTGCTAATGGTATAATTAAAAGAAAACAAAAGTTTTACTATAATCATATCCATGAGTATAATATTAAAAAACAAATAGAAAATGAATGTAAGAACATCTTTAAAATGTTTTAATGAATTATTCATGAAGTAATAATAATTATGATTATTAAAGTGAATTATTTGAAAAAGTGAGTAATCAACTTTGTATTTGTTTGCTAAAAAAAGATCTTAGTTACTTCAGGCTTTTCTTCCTTAGTTCTCAGCTAACTTTCAGCTGCCACCTCATGTTAATATGCTGCCCCCAGGTCCCCAGACCACCCCCACCAGGGTTGATGGGCTTGTTTATTGTCTCTCAAGCATAGCAGAACCACAGTTCACAAAGATGTTTTGCACCATATTTCTGAAGCCGTACCTCTTGACTCTTGTTAAGGGTACATATTGCCAAAAGCATAACACCCAAAAGAGTGGGCAGCATTTTAATTATTTTGAAAAAGAAATCCTTGGTATATCAGAGACTTATTAGAGCATTCAGGAGGCCCAATGAATAAGGTATGCACAAAAATAAGTCTTGGGCAGGTAAGATGCAGTAAAAGGACAATAATCTCTTAATAGTTTTAATTTTAACCAGACGGTATTGTTTTTCTTTATTAGCATTTACGAGGTTTCTTCTCAGACTCTACATCATTTAATCTTTTGATGAACATGTTATTTATCAAAGGCAAATATAAAAGTAAGTATTGCAGTTTATGATGTTTGGTGAAAAATTCTGCTCTCTTTCCTAGTACAGCAGTTAGGAAGAATAATGGAGCGCGCCAGAAAGACCTGTGTGTTCCTGATGAGTGCCTGATTCGGGAGAGCTGCTTCTTTAAGTGTGAAACATTACTGTACCGTATGTTGTGCTTTAAAGTAAACACCTCAGATTTTACTTAGGCTGAAATTATAACAGGTTTTTAAGTATTAGGTCTTCCTGTATAACCTGATCATTAATTTTGAAATTTAGTTAATTGCTAAATGACTTTGACAAGCAGCTTTTATTGTGCTAAATATACTTTTTAGTAGATGGTGCTGATTAGAACTGTGGGGATCAACAGTAGAGGGTTCTGATTCCTTTGACTGCATTCAGCACTTCTGGCCCACTCCTGGCTTTTGGCAGGTGCGCTGGAAGTATTGGTTGAGATGAAAAACCAAGAAGTGAAGTTCAGCAAAGATACCTATGTCCTTGCTTTTGCAATTTGCTACAAACTGGTAAGACTATCTCCTACTAACCTTTCGAGCATTGTGGATAGTGTTTGAGAGAGGAGAGAGGATTTGGTTTTTTTTCTTTACAATAAAATTCAGTTCCCCAGAAGTCTGTTTTCCATCTGGTGCAGATATCTCCATTTTAAATGTGTTCATTTTTAGAAAACTCAAGTTAGCCATGTCAGTCAGTTTTATCATGGGAAAAGCAAGCTTATCATCTCTCATCCTCCTCCAGCAATCATATAGATAGTGAGAACACGAAACAGTAGGCTGGGTTCCAGCTCTGCTTTCGAGTGGCCTTGCACCAGGCCCCTGCCGGACTGTACTACATCAGTCTTCTCTGTGGGCCTCTCCCGTGGAAACCTTATCTCCTTCATCCACAAACTCGAGGGCTGCTTTGTCCTCATCTGTCAGTTTTTCTGCAGTCACCTAAGTTGGTATTTTCTCCGACATCGCTTGATTGCACTCTGTTTGTATCACGTATGTGGCACTTGTGACACTGCACTGTTACACCGAGTCCATGCCCAGTTCATCCTCCCCACTAAAGTGGAAGCTCCTTGAAGCCTCTTGCCATGCCAGCGCCTGATAAAGTGCCTGGTACTCAATCAGCCTTTAATAGATGTATGTGACATTAAAATGAACTCTTTGAGGGGAGCATGACTTATAAGTCCCTATGTCATCACTGTGCCAGGATCGTTTCTTGCACAGAGAAACTGTTTCTGCTTCGTTTAATGAGTGAATGAATGATGAAATAGTATGGCGACCAAGGTCCTATGCATCACTTTAGTCATTCAGGCCGTTTAAACTCTGGAAACTTAACAAACTTTTTAATGCTAAAAAACAAAGGAACACCAAGCAAGGTAGAAGACCATGGGCCTTTGAAATACGTCCCTAAAAAATGTAGCAGTATGAATTTTCCAAAACAAAAGGTGCAGTTGGGTTCCAGTGGAAAGAAAACTAATGTGGAAATTGAGAAACTTGGAGTCTAGTATCAACCTTAGCATTACCTCGCTTTAAACTGGTCATTTTCCTCATTTGTGAAATGAGGGGGTTAGATTAGGGGGTCAGCCAACTTTTTCTGTAAAAAGGCCAGATAATAAATATTTTAGGCTTTGGGGCCCACGTGTGGTCTCTGTCGCATACTCTTTGTGTTTTTATAAAACTTTAAAAGGGTACAAACCGTGTCAGCCACAGGCTGGATTTGGCCTCAGGGTTATAGTTTGCTGACCCCTGGATTATTAGGTGCTCCTTCCTGATCTCACCATTCTGTGTGGCTCTCTGAAACAGAAGACCAGGTTGAGCATCAGCTATTCAGCGTTGTGATACCCCGTTTTCTGACCTACTTAGAGAGCCCTCCCAGAGTGAGTAACTGAAGTGGAGAGAACGGAATTCTACCACTTAGGGAAAGCCAGCAGGCTTCTCTCCCCTGGACTGTGTCCCAGAATAACTTGTTTCACTCAGGGAAATCAAGTTGAAAAATTGGACTGGCCAGCCATTCCAAGTTCAGGCCAGTTCTGGGAACTGTCCTATTGTCAAAGTCAGCTTTTACTTTAGGATTTGAGTTGTGAGTCGTGGCATGATAGATAGGCATAGATACAAAGCTGGTGCCGCTCTCATAAACAATCAACCTACATCTTGAGCAAAGGGGAGGATTCAGTTTTACCTTTGCTGTCTGTGGGTTTGTGAGTCACTCATATTCTTGGAGGGTTTTTTTTTCTTTTTTAAGTTTTCTGGTTTCTGGAATTCTTTCATTATTAATGTTCAAAAATTAGTGTTCGTGTTTTCAGATATTTGACTTACGTGGATATTTCCACATTGGAAATCCCCTCAGGAAAGGTTTCCCCGTGTCACTGAGCTTTACTCTATTATTTAATACAGTAGTAGCAGGACGAATCTTTATATTAATACTTTTACATTATGGGACTCATGTCTAGAAACCAGCCCACCCAGATACAAAGAGATCTATATATTTGCTGGTAAAACTGTCCCAAGTCAGAAAATTGACAAAGAGCTTTAAAAATAAAGTTAATTTAAATTTGAGCTTCTAATGTATAGATTACCGGGTCAGTTTGCAAATATTCTCTGTATGGTTCATAATCATTTAATAGGCTTGAGATAGGCTCTAGGAAATTCTTGGGAAAGGAAATTCGAAATACTGAGCACTAGTAATCATTTTATTCAACATAAAGCTTCATAGCATTTATTTACTGAGCAATCCTGCCTCCTTCTAGAATAGCCCTGAGTCTTTTAAAATCTGTACTACGCTAAGGGAAGAAGCTCTAATCAAAGGAGAAATCCTCTCCAGGAGAGCGTCATGTTTTGCTGTGGCTCTAGCCCTGAATCAGGTAAGGGTCTGGGGTGCATGTAAGTGAACTGGGGCTGGGCAGGACATCACCGCTTTCATTTCTTGCCTTTATTTATGTATTGTTCTCTTCTGACTGTATCATAAAGGAAATGTCTCCATAAAGAGACCAATGCCTTTGGTGCCATGGCAACCTGCATCTGTTCCTGTGCCTCCAAAGAATGTTTGCATTTACAGTTAAGGACATAACATGTAGTGCTGTTTATTTAGAAGGGGCTGGCTGAGAGCCTGTGGAGAATTAATGAGGGAAGCTGCCCTCTGAGAGAAATTTCTCAAATAATGAAAATGAAATTTTCATGCAATCTGTTTACTGTGTCACATTCTCAGAGAACAGTTTAATGCTCTCCAAAGCTGAATTCACCTCCGATGACTGAGGACTCCCACAGTGAGGCTACTGTAGAAATGGGGTCCATCATATAGTTCATAGTTAGATGTAAATACTCTTATTTGGAAGGGAGGTGATCTTTCAGCCTCCCCCTCTCACTGGGCAAATGGAAGCAGCTGACGCCCAGAGAGAAGATAAGACCTCCCTCTCTTCACATCTCAGTGAAGGACCTTCAAAGCTGGAACCCTAGAGTACCCCCTCTCTTGAAGAGCCCCTCCCAAGATAGCCTAAGAAAATATGTAATATTTTATAAATATGCATAGGCTTTATTTCTCCCTGGCCATTCAGAGTAGGCATGGAATTGGTTTTCAATTAAAAAACAAACAAACAAAAAACCTCTTTTCTGCTGCCATAGTGACACACTGCTTCCTGCAAATATGGCTTATCTGTGTAAATCTTTGATTAACTTCACCTTGGACACCAAAAGGATCCAGAGAACTTCTCACTACCAGTTCTAAACTCTATTACCATCCCTGTAAACAGGAGTTTATGTTTTGTGCTTCAGGTTGTGCCCCTCGCCTGTGAGACCTACTTTGTGGGCTCTTGCTAACGTAGGGAGCAGTGTTCTCTCGCTGCCTTCTCCACGCACCTCTGCTCCATCTCTAGTGTTTCTACCTCTTCTGTTTTTTGAGCTTTCTGCTATCTTCTAATTATGCCAAAGATGTTTGTTTCTTTTTTTTTTTTAAGCTTATTTCAGTGGGAGAAGGGGAAATGTCAACTTTATGCCACCCTCTGAAAAACTGGAACTCAGAAAACATTAAGTAACCTGACACTGTAGGGCACATTTTATAGAATGTTTATTCTTGATTGCCAAAACACTTTTTGTCTCTGTGTACCTCAGAACCCTGGTGTATCACAAACAGGAATATCCTGACGTGTTTAAGTGATCTTTACGATAGCAGAGTAGTGTTCATATGACTTAGAGTGTGACTTGTTTTTCTTCTTTCTAGAACCAGGTGGAAAAAGCTACATCCATTTTTTCTCAAATCATGAAGCCAGAAAACATAATCTGCGATAATTTAAATGTAAGTGACTTCTCTGTGGTTTAAAGAAAGGCTTGAAATGTACTAAAATCGTGTCTAGAGTTTTTTGTCTGTACAATGACTTTTGATCTCCCAAGAGCTTCATTCAGTTTATTCACTTATTGAGCTCTGTGTGGAAGTTACAGTATAGCCTCTGTGAGAGGAGCCAACACAGCCTGTCCTTCCAGGAGTTTATGTAGAGGGAGGAAATGTAGACATGCTCAGATATAAGATGGGAATAAATGCTCCAGGTATAACACATGACGACAGAAGGCTGTAGATGTAGAGAGAAGGGAGATAGGCCCTCCAGCCTCTTTACTAAGACTCGTGAGAAACCCGTGTGCTGATTGCATCCTATTTCATGCTGCTTAACTCCTGGGGTCAGTGTAACTGCAGCGCATAAAACAGTGCCTGATGGGGTAAGTGCTTACTCAGTAAATGGTAGCTGTTTCCATTCTTACGCTGCCAGGCTGCTGTCTGCCCCAGGGAGCAGGGTCATCTACCCCTGCCTGTCCCAGGGCTGGGCACCTAAGCAGAAACTGTAGGCTAGAGTGGGTGGGTCAGCCTGAAAAGCTCAAAGGCTCAAGCAGGTCTGGGAGGCCACGGTGGCAAAGGTCCTGAGTCCCGGAGTTCAGGTCCTTTGAGCCAGCAATACCAGCAAGCCAAACAGACGAGGAAGCCTCGTCCTCCAGCCGCTGCCAAACATCTGTTAGCTTCTGTGCTCCCTACTGGGTATGGAAGCTCTGAGGATCCCAGGTATGCAGCTGTTTCTGAGAGAGTGGCCTGTAGATGTACTCGTCTCACGATTGGACAGAAGTAGAATTGCTAGGAATCCAAGTGGTTCAGGGCATCATAGGAAAGAAATACCGGTGAGGGGTGAGAGGGGTTTTACATGGACTATTAGCTCTTCCTAGAGTTGAAGTGAGGTTGTGGGGATCAGTCCACAAGGATCAGTGGTGAGACATTGAAGGGAGTGAGACTGGCAGGATTTTAATAGAATTTAGCTATGGTACCATGCTAGATACTTTGTATTTGTTGGTTCACTTGATACAGCGTTGTCAGAATAATATGTCTCCATATCATAGATGTGAAAATGAAGATTCAAAGGGTGAGTAAATTACCCGAGTTGTTGCAGTTCATTAAATAGCAGAGCGGTTTTAACACAAACAAATCTGTTTGACTACAAAGCCGAGGGTTTCTCACCACTCCCTCAAGAGTAAGGGTTGTGCCTCTTCTCCAGGCCTGGGGCTAGTTGCTCCTCCTGAAGCACGAAATGGGCACAGGACTGGATGTCAAAATTGAATCCACTCTAGTGCACATATTCTGTGCCTTGAATTTAGATTCCTCATCTCTTTCAATCCTTGGCCCTCACAGTTGTTATGAGAATGTAGTGATGATTTTTTTTTTTTTTTCCAAATGAGAAAGTGCTTTGGTGGAAATAAAACACGAGCCTGAGGGCGAGCCGCCTGCTCACTGTAGGAGGAGACATCCAGCGCGCTCCCAGCCGGCAGCCAGACCAGCTCCTTGTGTCCTTGAGAGCTGGGGAGGAGGCGGTGATAGCTGTGGCAAGTGGGCCTGAATCGGGGCTGCGTCAGGAGCCTTGAGCTCATCTTGAATATGAATCATCCTCTCCATGAACTGGGTCACAGAATTATCTGTTGTCAGGAAATTTAAAGATAGTTTTATTGTTTAAAAATTCTTAGGAAATTCTTCCAAATGTCCAATCTAAATTTCTCATATTTCAACATAAGCTAGTTTCTTCTTGCTCAGGAATGATAAAAAAGAGATGGTTGCCATTCTTGGGTTTAATAACCTTTCAGATTCTGGGTCTCCATTATTAGAACAGGCTTTTAAAAATGTAATGTAATGGGCCTCGCTTCTCTAAGGCTGAGTCATCTACTTGGAATCCCTAAGGGCAATTTGTTAATTTTTAGGAAGTGGAAACCTGACAAGTAGGCTGAGTAGAGAGTCTGTTCAGTCAGTATTGCAGGCATAAATGAAATTTTTTCCTGATCTACTTTAAATATTAATAAATACTTTTAAAAAATAAATCTTTCTGCTGCCAATTGGAATTTGCACTCACCCAATTATTCCCCCACAGTTTTCTTTCATTGAAATTGCTCCTGCTGTCAATATGACCCAGAGGGTCTGGTTTCCCATTTTCCCAGCTAACATATGTTATATATTGCACCGAGTTAGCAAATGATCTCATCAAAGTACGTGCATGTTAACTCTGCCCATTTAGTCTAAACTTAAACCCTTCAGTCTCAAAACAACTATGACCCCCTCTTTAACAATGCTGTTTAATATCAAAGGATTAATTCCTACTTCCAAATATGTCTGAAAGTATCAAAGACCAACACAGGGTAACTATCCACTGATGGTTACTATTTTATTTCTAATAATTTCTCTGGAAGTCTGGCAGTCTCCAAATGGGGACTGATTTTGGGATTGAAATAACCTTTGAAAGGAATTGACAAGTGGTTTTGCTGCTTTTATCGTTTATTTATTGACGATAATAACAGGTGAATGTTTTAATGCCCTTTCCTAATACTCACTAAGGTCACTTTAAAGTTCTAGCTCATGCTGGGAAGTCTCAGGCTGCACAGGTCAGAAAGGAAGGAGGACTCATTTCTCTTGAATCCCATTGTGGCAGCATCTCACCTGTTTGTATAAGTTAAGAATTGCATTTGAGTCCTGGCTGGTGTGACTCAGTTCATTGGAGCATTGTCTGTAAACTGGAAGGTTGTGTGTTCGATTCCTGGTCAGGGCACATGCCTAGGTTGCAGGTATGGTCACCAGTTGGGGTATGTACAAGAGGCAACCGACTGATGTTTCTCTCTTGCATCAGTGTTTCTCTCCCTCTCTCTCCACTCTCTTGCCCTCTCTCTAAAATCAATAAGCATGTCCTATAGTAAGGATAAAAAAAGAAAGAAAAGAATTACATTTGTGTGGGAGCATTGTAGACTCCAAAAACACAAGAGCCTGTACAAATTTGAGGCTTTCTTTTTCTCTCATGTAGAAAACCAGAGGCGGTCAGCCTAGGTCTGCTGTGACATTCCGTGATATCGTCAAGGACCCAGCTTTGTTCTGTATTCCCACACCACCACCCTAAGCATGTGACTTACATCTATTGATTGTATTGCTATTCCAGCAAGAAGTAGAAAGAACAGAGGGGACAAAGAACTTAGCACCTTTAAAAACGTTTCTTTTATTTAGTGATTTTAGAGAGGGAGAGAAACATTACTTTGTTGTTCCACCTATTTTTGCATTCATTTGTTGCTTCTTGTACACGTGCTGACCAGAAATCAAACCCACAACCTTGGTGTATTGAGATGACACTCCAGCCAACTGAGCTACCAGGCCAGAATTTAGCACCTTTTAAGGATGCTTTTCCAATTGTCTTATGAGTTATTGGCCAGAACTTAATCCCATAACCTCTCCTGGTTGCAAAGAAACCTGAGAAAAAGAGCCTCTGAGTTCCAGACATGAAAGCGTTAGTTACAATTCGGGAGTCCTGTTATCAAAGAAAGAAGGGGGAGAATGAATGTTGTTTAGAAAACCAGCAGTCTCTACCACACTGTGATGTTCTACAGTAAATATATAACAGCTTTAAAAGAAAATAAAAGAAAAAACAAATGCAAATTTCTAGCATGTTAAGGGCTTTGTTTTTGTTCAGAGGTATCCAATGATTTGTCAGCATTTCCCAAGGCCTCAGAAAGTCATAGGGGTAGGAAGTAAGTGTTCTTTTAATAGTTTTCTTACCAAAATTCCCTATGCTCCTTGCTAATTCAATTTTCCTAGCCTTTTGTTTGAAAGCTGTAAGATTAAAGCAATGTGCTGTACCCTAATTTAGCTTTTAATTGCACCCTGAGACATCAGTTTGAGACAAGCTCCTAGCTTTAAATTTTCTCTTTGCCTTTCATCAGTAACTGCCTCATCTTTATCGCTCCTCATCAGTATATTCATAAGGTATTGACCGTACTCTTGAAATCCCTATTGAATCAGAGATAGTTGCTGAAGACAAGGAGAGGAATTGGGAAAACTTACCAAAAAAAGCTGAAATTTTCCAGGAGCACCTCATTAATAGTTTCTAACATGGAGCTCCAAGAGGTTTATCCTTGAAAATTGCTGTGTTCCCCTTCTCCTTCATTACTGTTGAGGGTATACTAGGTGCCAGGCACTGGAGATGTGGCGTTTAACAAAAGAAGACTTGTCCTAGACCTCAGTGGGACAGCCTACTGCCATCCAAATTTGATTTTTATTAACAAGGGTGTTAAGAACTATTAAGAGTGGAGATTTTACCCTACTTCCAAACTAATGTATTTCATGGATGCCGGTAGAGATGTAACACATCAGGGAGTAAAGCATAGTTTATTACTCACAGCAATAGCAGTAGCCATAGTATTAGTATTTTTGCATTAGTTTCCTAAGCCTCAGTTCCCATAGGATGGTGTGAAGAGATCTATATGCCTCTTGCACACTCAGGGGCTTCCATTTTAAGATGGATTGGAGGAACCCAAGTCTCTTACAACGAGCAGTAAGCATTCCTGTCCTTTGCTCTGGATGAGACACTGAGTCTCTCTTCCTAGGCTGTTGGTTGTGCAAACCTCCGTGAGAAGATTGGAATAAAGGCTGTCAGTGCTTCTGCTCAAATGTGGCAGGCGCACGGAGGGCTGTCTCCCGACGAGGGTGTGCCTGCGATTTTGCCTGTGCTTTAAGACACTGAACTTTGATGAGGGCCTTAGGATTCAGTCTGCTTGGGATCGTTCCATTCTGTTCTGCAGGACCAAAGACAGCCCCTTGTCCTAATCAGCTGCTCAACAAACATAAAACGTTATCAAGTGGACTGTTGAGAGAACTTAGCTGGTTTGGAAGAGAAAAAAGGAATATCTCTTCCGAGAAAACTACGTTTTCTAAGGATCAAGAGCCTTAAAAATGTTCACCCCCTTTGACTTTGTTATTTTACTTCTGGGAATTAAGTGTAAGAAATTAAGTTTATCTTTTAAAAATGTATGCACATTTATCAATATGGTAAAGAATGGTATTAATTTATTTGATGCATTATTTTATTTAAATGATGGATGGCTGTGTATTTATCATTAAAAAAGATTTTCTCTTTTTCTAAAATTTATTTTTAATGCTATAAGCAAATGTTCATTGTACAATAATTGATAAAAAGCAGAATCAAACTTTGGGGGAAATTATACTTGGAAGATGATATATGAAATTATAAACAATGGTTAATATTAGTTAGTAAATTCTGAGTTATTCTCATTTTATTTAAACTTTTCTGTATTTTTTGAGATTATACTAATGCACATTGGTGATGAGGGGGGAAATGTGTTGTTTTTTCCTTGTGTTGTTTCAGTCTGATGGAAGGTAGTTAGTAAAATCATTTTGAATGCTAAGTACAGTACCCAGTTTTGAAAGTTCTTTAACAGTAACGGTCTAAATAGAAGTGCCTCACTAAGATTTTGACCAGCTTCCTCTGGTACCTGCAGCAACCTGTGTGCCTGGAAATTCTTAACCAAAATGCTAACAAATAAAGAAGGTAAAGGTGTCATTTACCCTAGAGCCCATCTTGTGAGATCGTTTGATTGTCATGGCCTCTGAATCTAGAGGCTGTAGGGAGGAAGAAACTGTAGTGTTCATGGAGTACCTCCTGTGTGCTGGTATTTCATTAATGTTCACAGTAATTCAGAGTATGAGCTGTAAAGGTATTTTTCTCATTTTACAAATTAAAAATTGAAAGAGAGATTAAGTACCAGCCAGCCACATGGCTAAAATCGCCAGCGCTGGAAATCCAGCCCAGCATCCATGTTCTCTCCATGTCTGTCCTTAATTTAAGCAAGTTCTGCAGCTGTGGTATTTTGGTTTGCCATTGGAGAAGTTTTGGTTGGCGGACATACATTGGAAGCATTTTTTTCCTTTTAACTTGTGAAAGCAAATGAATTAGGAAATAGCATGACAATGGGGTAGAAGCCTATAAATTCAGGCGTACCTAATGGCACACTCCTCAGTTGAAAACTGGCTCAGTCTTGCTTTTGCTTGTGTCTTCTTATTATTCAGCTTATGATCCATATCCAGTCAAATACGTTGAAAACCGTGATAGAGATACTAAAGGATGCTGCAGAGGGAAACTTATCAAGATTTGTGAAAAAAACGAAATTCTCCGAAGAAGTGGTGAGTGTGTGGCTGCTGCAGACATCACTTAAAGGGGGAGGGCACCCTTTCCAGAGGCCGCTTCCTTAGAGAGGTGGTCACATTTGCAACCTCTCTTTGTTCCTGTTGTAAGATTTCTCTGTGGGTGCGAAGATTTTTCTCCTTCAAACACGAAAATCCTCCAAAATGCTAGGAAAGCTTTTTCCCCTTCTGTTAGTCCTCCCCCCGGACTGTTTTCGTGGGTCCCGCTCCCTCTCTTTCCTTTCTCCTCAGGCTGCCAGCGCCTTCCCCTCACTCCTCGCTCCCCGTCCATGGCCTTGCTCCCTGTGTCACGGAGGAAACAGAAGCAGAGAGAAGCACTGCGCACGGACAGCCTTCTTGCTGCTCCCTGCCTGCTCCGCCCCGCTCCCCCCACTCCAGGGCGCCATCCAGAGGTTGTCTCACCCTCTTGTGAGCATCATTAGCATCCCTTTCCCTCAGCAAACAGTAAAGAGGCTGTGGTATCTTTCACCTTAACAACAAAAACCAAGAAACATCTCCCCTATTTAAACAAATGAAAAGACCAACATGTGTTTAAATGAGAAGATTCAACCTCCAAATGCCAAACCATATTAAAGCCTCTGTCATTAGAATTGTTGTTTTAGCTCCTGAATAAATCGGCTAATGGAACCGTATAAATGCTTTGCAAAATTCTAAAACAAAATTAAATAAAAATGAGGAGAAAGAAAAATTGAAAGCCAAATGAAACAAATGAATCCATGTGTCACTTGATGGCTTAAGCACACAAAGAGGAGTTATTCTAAATTATTTGAAATTTAGCAGTTTGTACATTGCCAGTAGTACAGAGCCTCAGGGATAAAAGAACTGTAAAGAAAGTATAAATTATTGGCAGTGACCGTATTGTTAGTGATGATGCTTGGTACTGTCATTCTGACAACAAAGGGGCCTGTCGGGTGGTCCCCCGGCCTCCTTTTCTCCCTCCCCCCCTAGCCTTTTATAGCGCTGGCCCCACCTGGCGGCTGAGACAGCAGGACTGGCAACAGAGCGCAGACGGCTGCTTTCCCCTCTGCCGCCCTGTTGCCTCCCAGTCCTGTTCCTTTCCTCGCTTCCACCCAAAGGCTTCTCCCTGCTGTTAAAGGGAACAGAAAACTAACTGGATATGATTCAATTTAAAGCTTCTTTCTGCTGGAGGCCTTAGCTCTGTGTAGGCTGTGACCCACTCAGACCCTTTTGGAATATGGTAGAAAAGCAGCATCCGTGGAAATGTGAACAGGTTTTCAAGTGCACGGTCGTGTGTATGAGTGTGCAGTACGGACACATGTTAACCAGTCATCCCTCAGATCCTGTCCATCCATGTTTTCCAACTTTATGACTGAAGAATCTATCATCCAAACATTGAAAAATACTGATTGTTTGCATCTGAAATTTACCCCCTAAAGCTATAAAACTTGTTGACATAGAAAGCTCATCCTAGTTCAGCCTGTTCCCCTGGTGGTTGTGAGACACTCAAGGAGCTGCCTATTGTGAAATGAATCGCTCTTATAACCCAGGTAGCTTTGGGGCTAGCTCCGCCTATGTTTGTGAGATTGCATGTGGAGTCTTGCGTTGTAAAACTGCATTTTGCAAGTGCTGTATCTAGTGTTTATACCGACAGTTACTAACCATGCCTTCCATGTGGAGATGAGGTGGAATTATGCCATTAGAGGAATGAGGAGAATTGCTTATTTTCTGCAATGCCAGGACTGCAGCCACTCAAACAGCTGTTTATTCATTGATTTCTTTCTTAAAATTAAATTCACAAACAATGTAGTATGGATCTCTTTTCTGCTTAAATTGTAGAATGGTCCTAATGACATCATTTAGTATTTCTGTAGTGATGTAAGGGAACTGATGTCATATATGCAATTAGAGCAAAGCTATTGATACCTCCCCTTTGGCGTATTTGCTTCGCCTCTTTTGGAAGCCATATGCTGCACGTTAAGTCACTTCACCTTGAACATGAAGACTGAACATGCTGTTCTTTTTAAGAACATTAAGAAGTGCTTAAACTTTTTATTTGATAGTTCATTGGGGAGCCCGTGTTTGAAAGGAAGGTGCGCAGGTAACAAATAGGATTATGATATATTAGAAGATGACCAAAGGGTGTGTTAGAGACTTTGATTACCATTAAATCTCATCAATAAACGTTGTTAGGTTATATTGTTAATAAGGATTGAACTATGTGAAGTGTTGATTTTATTCAAAAAGTAGCTTCACGTTCTAATTTCGAGCTTACCCACTTTTGTAGAATTAAATACCATTAATATACTTGTGACTCTAATATTTATCCCTCGGTCTAGTTCTACCCGCCATGTTTCATCTTTATGTATCCAACAGCCTCTCGGAATGTTGGCTCGATCACGTCCCTAACAGCACTCCTGGTGTCCCTCTCCAAGTCAGTCTCCTCCTCCCCCCTCAGCTGATGACATCGCCCATCACCAAGTTTCAGAGCCCAAGCTGGGAAGATGTCTTTGATCCCTCCCTTTCCTTCACCCCTTCAACCTTAAATCCTCAAAAGTTTAAATCTAAAGTACATCTTACATACATCTACCGATCCGTCTTTTCTGTGCATTTCCCAGTCTTAACCATCACCCTCGCCTCTGGGCTGTGGTGGGGCCTCCGGCTCAGACTCCACGTTCTCATACCCACCACGTCTCCACAGAGCCTTGTGGAGACCAGATCAGGGCCCAGTTTTGGACCCTCTGATGGCTTTTAGAATAAATTCCAAAAGAAACTTACCATGCCTAACACCAAAGCCAGCATTCAAGCGATGATTGCAGTAAGTGGGAAGAGGAAATCCACGCCAGAGAAGAGGGTGTGAAGAGAGGGCCAGGGGCCGGTGGAGCTGCGTGCACTCTGGAGTACAGAGCCCCTCATACTTATTTTCTGCCATTACCAAACGTTAACTTTGGCCAACAGGACACTAATTAAAAGGGACATAACCTCACCCATTGCTGGGAGAATCTGCACATTTAACCTGTCTCTCAAGACTGAAGATGTATTCTCTTCTCAAATACACTCTGAAAAATGCCAGAGTGGAAATAGTTCCTAACTTAACACAAAACATTTTTTTTAAAAAAAGATTTCCAATCTCTGCAAACAAACTTACCATGCACTATAAAACCCCTGTATAATTTGGCTCAGCCTCCTGCTCTCGTCATTAAATTGGACAAACTTGGTCTGTTCCTATTTGAGCTCCTTTTCTGGATATGTCTCATCATACAGTGTGTGCCATCTCTATCCCCCTTTTATAAAATATTAGGCCCTGGCCAGTATGGCTCCGTTGGTTGGAGCATCACCTTATAACCAAAAGTTTGCAGGTTCAATCCCTGATCCAGGTGCGTGTAGAAGGCAACCAGTCAGTGTTTCTCCATTCATCGCTCCCTTCCTTTCTCTCTAAAAGCAATGAAAAAAATGTCCTTGGGTGAGCAGTAAAAAATATATATACATTAGGTATGATTTTCAAGTACTAATTCTGAATTTTGTGTGTAGCTTGTAGGATCCCTTATAGCTAGTCATACCCCGCCCCGTGTGCCTCAGCACCCTGGTTTTTACCACTTAAGGTGTACACTGTGCATTTCTACACATTTATGGTTCTGCTTCTTGGAGGATAGAAAGAACAAGGAAAACGTCTTGCATGGACATAATGATTTGCTTTTCTTTATTTTCCAGCTGGCCAAAGTGAGGGAAAAAGTGAAGGATGCACCTGCCCTTCTGGCCAGATTTGATGAGCTCTATGGGAAACTGCACATAAACGGCCAGGTCACCACTTACAGTTTGGATGCTCTGCTCTGCCACACCCCCAGGGACCTGAAGTCCCACATTGTACTGATAAACAGGAGGACAGTCAGCCGCCGGACCTTCCAGCCGCTCAGCCAGTCCCTGTGGGCTGAGTAACCCTGGGTCCAAGCCCCCCGTGGGGTGGGTCTGAGTTGGATGGGGCCTGCTTCTAGTGAATTACTGGTGTCCTAAGAAATCAGGCACCAAGCTCCAGTGGACACTGTACTACCACTTGGTCTCCTCCTTAATTTCCGTGTTCATTGAGTGCAGGCATGCTGACCGGAGAAGATACCATTGTGTCACTTTGAAGGTCTAGATATAGACGAGCAGAAAGCACAGCTCCCTCAGAAAGGAGGCTGGCCTCTGGTAAACTGCTGGGGATCCTGAAGGGAACGTCGTCATGGTGTGCGGTCCAGCTGCTGGTGCCAGAGTTCGCAGTAGGCAGTGGTGGAAGGAACTGCGCTGGAAGTGGTCGGCTCCGACTGCCTCTCAGGGGAGTGGCTGCTCGCGGACTTCAGATGGTCTGCTCCGCTGTGCTGGGAAGTAGCCCAGGACCTTCTCTCTGTTTCTGCTCTCATTGATCTGTGACCCCACAGAAGGTACCTGAGCCCTCATTTTTCCACCCGTAAAATAATAGTGCCTATATGAATCTGCATGTTGATTTGAGATTTTCACTCAGGGTTCAGTAGGGTCACATTTTCTCAAAAAATAAGAAAAATAAAAGAAGGCTCCCAAAGCTTCTTGGGATTATGTTTTGTTTTCTCGGCAGCACAAACAAAACCAGAATTTCGCTGTCAGAACTGGTAAGCTAACATTTAAATGGTTACTGCACTGGTCATGGGCAAGCCATGTGCTTTTCAAAATAAGTGCCAATGAAAACCACATAATGCTCTCTGCACTGCTTAGTTCTCTATGCGGGTCATATATTTTTGTTTATTAATGGATTTTTCTCTTTTCTCTCTTTGGATGTTTTATTTTTTGGTAAACGTAAATGCGTCATGACAGCAGGTCGGAGTTTGCTCACACGGATCCGTTACTTAGGATTTGAAACCCAGCCCCTGGAGGGCTGTGCCGGGTGTCTCTGACAGCCCAGGTGATGTTCCAGCCTCTCAGGCCCCTTCCTGGAGTGCTGCGGCTTCTTCAGTGCTAACTGGAACTTTATTGTTCCTTTGAGGCAAGAATTGTTCATAGAATCGGAAATTGTATTGGAGGAGGAGTCTTCTGAGTCTCCTAATTTAACTTCCTCATCTTTCAGGTTGAGGAAATGATTTGTCCAAATTGGGGTAGCTCGTTTGAAGAGGCACTGAAATTCAAATCCAGATTTCTAGTCTCGTACCGTCCTGTTATACCACAGTGTGTCTCTGCAGAGAAGAAAAGGAAGGAGCTCTTCAGAGGCGGAGTGTCAAGGGCTTTCCCAACTTGCTGTGTGGCACAGGCTCACCTCGGTGCCATCATTTCTTAAACGGGGGATAATAATAGTCCCCACCTCCTGGCTTGGCGTGAGGGGAATGAGATAAAGCAATCAGGCCAGTCTTGGTACAGAATAAGTACCAAGTGTGGGGTACTTATTCCCATTAACTATTGCTGTCACTGTCGGTAGCATTTGGGATGTTCACACCTTGTCGAGGAATTATATAAACAAATGAGTTCTTCCTGCTCAGAAATATCAAAAGAATTTCTGTGCTTATGCCTGTGAAACACTAGTAGCCCCCTTTCAAGAAAATCCTCTGCCTTCACAGACTCTTAATTGCATCTTGTGTGTCTTGTATTTTGCAAAAAGAAAAGAAAAGAAAAGGAAAATTTAATCTCTCTACCTTCAAAGTCTTAGGGAATAACAGGGCATACTTCCTGTGCCCTGACTTACCATTTATCGCCTCCAACGTGCACAAAGAGCATTCAGTAACGCTATCGTGCCCTGGGTGGATGTGGTCCTAGTCGTTAGAGCTAACAACCATTCATTAGCAAAAAACAGAAAAGAGTCTTGGGAGTGATAAATAGCAGCAGTGACATACCCGAGTTCTTCTGAGCAGTGGGCAGCTAGTGCTCTGCTGACTCTAAGACCTGATCTATGTGACCTGCCACCAGAAGTCTTACTGAGGGGCAGCTTAGTACAGAGGTAACTAATGTGTGTGACATTCACCCCAAAATAATAGATGATTTCGAAGGCTAAAAAACACTGTCAAAGAAAAAGTGTGTTCAGCAGATACTTCTACAAGGAGGACATACATAGGGCCTAGAGACATATGAGAGGATGCTCAGCATCACTAGCCATCAGGGAGATGCAATTAAGACCACAATAAGATACCACTTCATACCAATGAGATACCGGTCAGAATGGCCATCATAAACAAATCAACAAGTGCTGGAGAGGTTGTGGAGAAAAGGGAACCCTAGTGCACTGTTGGTGGGAATGCAGACTCGTGTAGCCACTGTATGGAATGGAATTTCCTCAGAAAAGTAAAAATGGAACTGCCTTTTGACCCAGCACTTCTACTACTGGGGTTATACCCTAAGAATCCCAAAACACCAATTCAAAAGAACCTATGTACCCCAATGTTCACAGCACAGTTTACAATAGCCAAGTGCTGGAAGTAACCTAAGTGCCCAACAGTAAATGAGTGGATCAAAAATCTATGGTGCATTGACACAATGGAACACTATGCAGCAGAAAGAAAGAAGGAGCTCCTCCTCTTCGTGACAGCATGGATGGAACTGGAGAGCATTATGCTAAGTGAAATAAGGCAGGGAGTGAAAGACAAAAAACATATTATCTCACATATATGTGGAACCTAATCAACAAGACAAACAAGCAAAATATAACCAGAGACATTGAAATAAAGAACAAACTGACAGTAACCAGAGGGGAGGGGGGAGAAGGGGGAAAAATAGGGGAAGGGCCATCAAGGAACACGTATAAAGGACACATGGACAAAGCCAAACAGGATAGGTTTGAAGGTGGGAGGAAAATGGATACAACTGTACTTGAACAATAATATAAAAAAAAATGTTCAGTATATAATGAGCATTTTATTCTTTCATTTCTTTGAAAAATGACATTTCTTTACATTCAATAATTTGCCTAAAGCATCTTCTTACTCTTCAGTAATTTTCTTGAGGCATGTATTGTACTTACTCTGTTAATGAGACTATTTCATTGGACAGGACGTCTTATTCCCCAACTCTGTATGTGCCTCTGTAGATTGCTTTCACTTGTATATGTCTATTGCTCCAGTACCCAAAAATCGTCCTGGTGAGTACAGCACAGTATGAGAAAAAGACGAAAAGATCTCTCTCTCATTAGGTGGTACCAGGACAGGCAGGGTTCTGGTTATCTGTTGCTTTCTCAAAAACCCTCCAGAATTTGGTGGCCTGATACACCGCCAACACTTTATTATTTCTCTTCCTCCCCAGAATTGACTGGGCTCAGCCAGGCAGTTCTTACTCCAGGTTCTGTGTGGGTGCAGTCAGGTGAGGGCTGGGGCTGGAGTCACCTCAAAGGCTTCCTCCCTGAATGTTTCTGGCAGTTGGTGGTAGGACCTCCTCCGAGGTTGGAGCCCCGTCATCTATGCGCATATGCTCACGTGCGTGTGAACTAAGGCACCAGATGGCAAAACAGCACAGGCCTTGACAAAAATAACCCAAGATTCAAATTTGTAACATTTCTATCTACAGATTTGGGAAAATGAAACTCAGTACATAAAATACCCGTTTAAAAAATTATAATGGTAGAAGCTACAATTAGTCAAATATAATAGGCATTATGCATTAAAAGTACATGGTGAATGAACCAAGCCATTGTGAACTGATTTCAAAGGAAAGACTTCAGAAAAGTAAAATAAATTTTTAAAGGAAAGTTTGTCTTGCATAGACAATGGATCAAGGAACAAAGTTGATTTTAATGGCATTATTTTAAAAAATAATGAACAAGAATCGACTGATATTGGTGTAATTCTGATTGAAATTATTTTTTATTTGCTGATATGGAGTTAAGACAAGGGGATTAAAAAAATTCTCTGTTCCTTTGGAGACTGCATTCTGCAGGAGGGACAGAGATTAAATAACTGTGCAAATGACCCCATGATCACAATGAGATGAATACTAAATCCTGGGTGATACATCACCCTGTGACAAAGATAATAAGTGGGGTGCATGCGCATGCACACGCACCATCAGTGGAGGGCCTTTCCAGATCTCAGAGCAGCAAACTGTCTGTCATTGATTTCGACATGTAATGTACATTGCCTTGTGTTGACACAGAAATTTCCCCTCTATTTAGGTAGTGTCTCCTGAAGGCCAAAGTAACCTACATTTGCTTTATATGACGCCAAAGTGCCTATGTAGAATATTATGCTTATAATAGGGCTTCAATATTTGTTGTAAGAGTGAATCAATCAATGGCAGATTAGTTAATAGGTGTATAGTCTGCCATGATATGCTTTTAAGTACTTCACAAGTTTTTCATAAACTGGTCATCCTCTTCATTCCAGTTTCACGTATGACAGAGTCAAGACCCAGAGAAGTGAAATGCCTGAGAAGGGGGCCAAAATCCCTCTCTTCCCGTTGTCCCTCTCCCCACATTATTCTAAGTGGGCAGCTAATCTGAGTCAGAGGTGATTGGGGAGGAAGCAGTGTAGAGGGAGAGCACAAGGCTTCCAGGTGGAACTACCAAGCTGTTAATGAAAGATCAAAACGCTGCTGCATTGCACACCCCACCCATTTGCCAGCTTTGCTCAGTTGACCCTTCTTCTGAGAGCTGTGACCTCCAAGGGCCTCAGAAGCAGCACTGCCACGGTGATTAGAGGTGCGGCTGGGGAAACAAGGCCCAGAGGGAAATAAAGAACCCCAAGCTTGGCTGCTACTCACTGCAGAGCAATTGAAACACTCCTAAGCTGGCTGCCTGGGGAGAGGAGGCCTCAGAGGGAAACACCTGGGGGAGGGGGGTTGGTCCCTGAGCCTGGGAGGCTGGGAAAGCACATTGCAGGATCTCCCTCCTTGATTCCTTTCTTCAAAGGGGCCTCTGAACAAAAAGGTTAAAATGCATACACATGTATACCCACACACATACATATATGCATGTTACACCTACATACACACATACATAAATGTGTGTATATGTATGTTTGTTTCCAATAATTCCTAGCCGGCTTTATGTTTTGTTGTCACTAGTATACAGCTGAAGAACTTAGAGTACCCAGCAGAGGGCGCCCAGAGTCACTATTTTTAAAAGGTGCTACTTTTCAAAAGCATCTTCCATTTCTGGAACTGAGAGAAAACGGAGGCCCACAGGGAAGGTAGCTGTAGATAGACTTTAGGGAAGATACAGAATATTTCCTTCACTCAGACTGCAAATTATCCAGTTTTGAAAAGAATGCTTTAGGAAGAGAGAAAGCAGTGAAGATGATCCTCTGCAGATACTATACCAATACAAGTGTGCGTGTGCCTAACTAGATGGATGTTTCACAAGAAAACATCCAACTCAGATGCTTATAAAAGAAAAAACATCCAACCAGGTCCTTGGTCTCACGTGGAGAAGAGTTTCCTCCTGAAGTACGAAGAAATTCAACAACGAATTGTGTGCCCTTATTGTCTAAAATCACATTTGGTATGTGAGAGAAGTGAAAAGGACATAGGCTTTTCATTCTTTCTGTTGCCTTTCTATCCTACTCAAACCCATCAGCGGATAGCAGCCTCTCTGTGCCTGCCGTCCTCAGGGAGCTGCTC